CCGTATCTCCGCGATGCTCCGTATCTCCACGATGCTCCGTATCTCCGCACGCTCCGTCGTCGTATCGTTTAGCGACTGTGTCTCGTCACTATCTCCGACGTCGTCTCTCTCTCCGCAGTGCCACCTGGGGAGCGAAGTGGAGATGCGCGTGGGCGGAGACTTCGTCTACGACCCGCGCGTCGGCGACCCGACGACTGACCTCCTCCTGGTGGCGGGCGGGATCGGCGTCAACCCGCTCTACTCCATGATTCAGCACGCCGCAGACCTGCTGCAAGAGGGCGCCACGGGCATCGCCGTCGCCAAGCCGCGCGCGGTCACGCTGCTGTTCAGTGCGAAGACGAGGCAGGAGCTGATACACAGGGTAGGGATCGGTCGCGGAGGTGGCGGCGGCCCCCGGTGGGGGGCGCGACTGTACGATTCGTCCATGTGCTGCGGTTAATTCTGCTCGGTTACGCCCGCGCACGCGGCCGACTTTCGTTGTAATACGTGATAAGTCGTCGTTACATTTTCTATGTTTATTGTAATATTTTTGCTCGGTTACTGCGATTCATAGAGTCGGTGGGTCATCAGTGGGTTGTGACTGCAGACAATTGTTAAGTGGCTAATGAGGTTCGGTGATACTAATATGGTTCGCTGGGAAACCTTTTTACTAGAAGAATTTCGCGATTGATGTTTCCGTTTTCCTCCTGTAGAGGACTCTGCAGATGCTGTCGGAAGAGTTTCCAACGATTAACGTTCGGCTATTCGTAACGCAGGAGCCAGAGGCAGGCGATGTCAACATCGCTGGTGAGTGCTGACTTCACTTGTCACTTCAAGTGACTACGTCACGAATTTTCTATGGTAAAATGTGTAAAATTTTTGTTGCCATTTTTTTTACATTAAAAGTAAGAACTAATGGGACTAAATGTATCGTCAAATTCTTACATGATAAGATTGTTTCTCAACTAGTTAAAAATCCAAAAAACCTGGACGATTTGATATTAGTGTTCACAACATAAACTATGGGCTATGTATGAGTCACGAGTGTATGTTCACATCAAACAATATAGTAAAATAAGAAGTATAATGCAGCAATTTAACCATAAAAAGTGAACAGAATCACTTGTATTTTGTGGAAAAGTTGGATTTTTTTTTAAATTTTTATTTACGGTGACGTAATCACTTTCAGTTTCGCTTTGAGTTTTGTTCCGTAGCTGTAAACTCGGGCTTCTGCGCGATATGCAGACGGTAGGCACGCATTCACTCAAATCCGCTATCCGTCATCCACACTTGCTGCTATCGCGTCTAGACTCGCCGGATGGGTGACCGTCCGTGCCGCGTTGCTAACGGTTACCGCTTCCCACCTTTGTTCCCGCTGCGAACAGTGGGCAGGATAGGAGAGGCGCAGCTCCGCGACGCGTTAGATGGCCTCGAGAAGAGCGCCACCTGGTGTTACGTTTGCGGCCCGACCCCGATGATCGACGAGGTCGAGACTGCGCTACAGAAGCTCGGCGTCACCAAGGATCGCATCCGGGCGGAGAAGTGGTGTTAGGAACGCGTGCGCGCGCTGGCGGGGAACGCTCCCTCGGACGCCGCCTTCGCTCTCTCGCTGCGTCGGTCGTCACGTAGGTGGCAGCACGGTTGCGGCGTGCTCCGCCTTGTCGTTCTGCGAGCGAAGTGGCTAAACTGGCGGCGGTTTCACGAGCTATCAGCCCGGCTTTCTACGTGCGTCCGCGCCGCGGTTGCATGAAAATTTATATATTCGGTGTGCAGCCGTTCGCTCACTACTTATGCGCTGTAGACAGTTGTTAGGTCGTTCCTGTGTTCTTTGTATCGTTTAACTGCAAAGGCGAAACCTTGGCTACTTTATACCCGTAATGGGGTTAAGTCTAACCATTCGTGTTGCTACGACAGACGTTGAAGGGGGGGGGAGAGGTCAACGAGGAATATTGCAATGAAGATATAGTCCAGAAATGGTTTGGTGCTTTGAACTCTGGTCATGAAACGTCCACTGATTGGTAGTTTTTCATACGTACTCGTAAGAAAACTACAAACCGTTTCCTTCCTATACATTTTAAAAGGATCGAACGTTGTCTTAACTGGCCTTGGTTTTTTGCACGCATTACAGTGAAAATTGAATCATGTATTCAAATGTGGAGTGGTAAGGAATCAACAAGAGCGCTTATGATTATAAATCGTCGATATGTATTAGAGCGATAAACAACAAGAGACTGTTGTGTGACGAGTTCAACTGTCTTTTGGAGTTTGTAGCTCCATCTTCTGTGCATGAAGTATGAAATTATGCCACTTCTCCAGAATGTATTAAAACATTCCAAGGTATTAAATACTAATTTAAAAACTAATTTATTTGAAACAGTGTAATTATGATGTCATTAAAATTAGGTGCTTCCTGTGCATTTTCTCTCTTCCTAGTAGAATTTTTGGTTGTTTCTGTAATAAATGCATTATGATACATTTTGTAAATAAGAAGACTAGTTTTGTGTTCAGGTTGCTCATGATGTGTAGCCACACATGTAGACAGATTTAGCAAACTGCTGCCTGCAGTGCAATACTCATGTAGACTTTATACAGCGTGACTTTATATGCCATCCTTGTTGTCTGCTATGCACAAAGATGCTAGTTCAGCGGAGAACCGGAGCGAAGTCGAGAAACTTTCGCATTGGCGCTTGTATATTTCATGTGACATCATTCACTATATACACGCGTATTGCAGTAATTACGTTACTGATGATTAGATAGTAGTGGCATTGATCACCAGGTGGCAGCTTTCTGTGTGACTCAAAGCGGTTAAAATAAATTACTTTGCTGCCCGACATATTCTCTCAAGTTGGTGTTTTTTTCTGTTTTCAGCGATGCAACATGGAAACATTTGATATATAGACAACTGCTCACTGAATAACTACTAACAACGGGAGTTTATTTTAGGCAATTGATGATAGTAGACATGATAATGTGATCATATAAAGTGCTATGAACGCATACATAAGTGTATACATACATAAGCTACACGTAAAGATGTGCTACCGTATAGGTTGTTGTGCTGCAATACAAAAATGCATTTACACAATAGTGAGCATAACGTAACTGAAGATAATAAAATGTACGTTGCAAATGTCCGCTACGTTTCTCCAGTGCATATGTGAATCATCGTAATCCGAGTTTGACCACGTACTCCACCACAACACAAAACCGATCTTGCCGTCGTTGTGACCGGGATATCACGTCATTCTACAACAACGTCGCTACGTTAACATGGCGCTCATCAGCTCACAGTGGTTTCCTCGCTCGTTTGCAACTTCTGCTTTTTCTCTAACGGCGGACCGAATCTAGTGATGGTTTCTGTTACTAGTATGACATGGTCCATGAACGCGTTACAGCTGGTCCGCAATGCTCGTGCATCGGGTGCTGTGATCACTCTGCAGAAAATGAAATGTAGAAAATGATCATATAAATCAATTTGACAAAAATTGTAATGATAAAAGTTAACATGGCATGTACAATCATAAATATAGCCCTATAAGTGATAAATATAATTTGACAGTGTTTTCTGTTCAGTTTAGCGACACCTGCTATTAATAGATCATAGTAAGCTACGTACATTATTGCCTAAGAAATTAAGAATATACTACCTACTTTATTGGGCTTCCTGGATTGAGCATGATGGGCTGACCTATTACACACGTAATCATTGACATTGTTTAGCTCAGTTCTTGAAAACTAATATGGTCCTTTGAACCCATAATTTCTAGTTTAGGAGAGAGGTTCCTACTTTACTTAGCAAGCTGCTACTTAGTTCTAGTACTATAGCCTGCTTACAGTTGCCGAAGGGCTATAGAACATTCTATTACGAACGTTAGGGACCAACCCGCTGACTGGCGCTGCTGCAGCGCCACCAAAAATGGCCGTTTGAAGTTCGTAAATCGAATGTTCGTTCACAAGAAATACCGCAAGAAGACCATTTCAACGATAGTTAGAGTACGTTAAATGTTAGTAGTTATTTATTTCCTGACATTATGGAATTGATGCAAATACAATAACCTGTTGAATATTTTTTGAATAAGCGTGGACGATAAATGTGTCATTCAATTTTGATTGTTTTGCCCGATAGTTTTCTTATAAAACCGTTTTTATAAGTTTTAGATTGAGATATTCTGTCGTGTTCACGTTTATGATAATTTTGCCCGTTGGATGGCGCCATACATTGCATCGGCGATCGATCTGGGCAGCATCCCGCATGCTGCACGTACATTGACCGAGTGAGTGAGAAGCCTTCACCGGTTTTCCACAGCCTCCGCATCCCAAGGCTAGTAGCTTCTGCATCTTTGCTGCAAGGTACTGTCGCCGATCGTCGTCTTTCGCACTTAATTCGCGAGACAAACTCCTGTTATTCTTTCAATTAGGTTAGAGCGGACAAACGTAGGTGCAGTGATGTTTCAAATTCAGTTTTTGTTTGATCATATTCATAGTTATTAGGAATATTTCCTAGTAGTTAGTGTTTTTGTAACATCCACAATTCGAAGGCGTAGTTTACAATCATGTACTACTACTACTACTACTACTACTACTACTACTACTCTAGTACTAGTAGTAAGAACGTCGTTCCTGTTTGTCTGATAATTCTCATGGGGCACTAGCCTACGCCTACGGTTGCCTGACGCAATTGCCAATTGCTGCCCTCCCGTTCATATGATTGATATGGCGATATGCAACTGTTTACGCATAATTATTGTTTACAGAGACCGAGAAATTTGAATGCGAAAAACTGTCACGAAAACACGTCATAGACGGCTACCGCTAGTCGCACGCAGCATTCGTAAGCATCTCGGTGCGGTTCAATGAACTAGGACTAGGACTAGGAGTAGGGATAGTCTGTAGTGAGTCACCGATGTTCTGCTGGCCGATATTTACGATCTGACAGGCGGCAGACTGCCGCAGCAAACTGTACTATACGGGCAGCTGCCAGAGAATTAACGTGCGGCGGTGTTTATATTGTAAACAGGTGGAACGTGAGGTGTCTAACTGTCTATTATTTTGATTATATATGAATTAATCTTATGTGTATTATGAGTGCTACTTGTGAGGCCATGCACAGCGCGGTAGAAGGTCGGGGAATTTTGCCTAGCTTTCCTGCAATTACTCTGTGTGTTAAATGAGTGTTCATGCATCTGTTTGTCCGAGCATTATTGATAAAAGTTTGCTATGTCAACATTTTCTATTGCCAGGTTGGTTTATAGCAGCATGGCAGGCATAGGAGAACATGCGGTAGGGATACTCTCCACAAGAAACCTCTCTATCTCTAGCTATCTCTTGTCAATTGATTTCCTTCTCCCTCTTCCTCTCCCTCTCTCGCTGTCTCTCTCTCTTCCCCTATCTATCTATAGCTATCTCTCCCTCTTTCTCTCCCTCTCCCTTCTCTCTATCTCTCTTTCCTCTGTCTCTCCCTCACCTATCTCTCTCTCTCTCTCTCTCTCTCTCTCTCTCTCTCTCTCTCTCTCCCCTTTCTGTCTCTCTCTCTCTAGAGAGTCGTCTCTCTCGTCCGTCTGCTTCTCGTCTCTCGTCTGCTCTCTGGGCTCTATTCTCTCTCTGTCCTGCGCTGATGCTCGTCTCTGTCTCTGTGGGGGTGTGGGGGGGTCCCGCATGCTCTGCTCTCCCGTTCCGCCCACT